TGGGGCGCTCACGCAGAGGAACCAGACCATGCAGATCGCTGGCAGATGCGGCGTTCAACATGTCTTTCGCCCGTCCACTGCAGGCGGCCCCCGATGCGGTCGTTGAACTTGGAGCTTTCATTGACTTTGCCACAGCGGCAGATGAAGCTGCATTCCCAGGATCAGCTACAACAGCTGAGCTGACGGATATTTCCTTTGTAAACGACGGGCTTTTTCCGATCGGCACCGCGGGGCGCCCCCGACGCGCTTGAAATTGCCGGGTGCCCCGTTGGCGCAGTATGTCACGGCGTGGCCACGCGCGGGGCACGATGAACTTCGAGAAATGACAAGTCAGCTTTCATGACTACGCCAGCTGGTGATGGGGCTCGTACTTTCCAGATACAATTGGGGGGTTTCTTCAGATATGATGCTCAAGTCGCCCGAATATGGTCAGGAGCAGATCTGCAGCCTACGCAAATATTGGGGGGCAGTGCTGGACAATGGCGCTGCGCTGGGGCCAGGGATTGCAGAGGCGGTCCGCAGGCAGAAGGGCGACTTGGATCCCATGCGCCGAATGTGCGCACGTTTTCACCGCACGTATGAGTTCGACTGCCAGGCTGAACCTGGTGGATACTGCTCTATGCAACGCTCATCTATACTACCTGACAGAGGACTGGTCGTCAATTTCAAATCCGTTGCTGCAGGCACAAGGAAATCCGAGGTTGTCGTATCAGGTTGTTCTAGGTCGTTCCCTTCATGCTGAAGCCCTGGCATTCCACTCCGATCGACAGATCTACGCTCAGGCGCAGAGGGTCTCCATCAAGTACCTCATTCGACAGCGTCGGCTGTTATATGTTGGATCCCTTTTTGTTCCAGCACCGCAAATACTCTTTCGGCTTGTGGACCCACTACATACCGGTGAAGGCTCCTGGTCACAACTCTTGCTTGACGATGTCCGCTGTCTAACTACATATGGTCCAAGCGCGAACGGGCGATATTGGTCCTTGAGGGAGTGGTTCGATTATGTTGTGCAGACGCCGCGGCAGTTCCGAGCGCGCGTCAAGCGATTTCGGCAGCATTGGAGGGAACGCGAGTTGCAACACCAAAGTATTATGATCTGGACGAAGCAGCTTGAAGATATGACTGGAGATAACGTTCCGGCTCAACCTATGACGACGGGATACATCTGCTACGAGTGTGTCGACTTTTTTCAAACATACCGCTGCTTGAAGCAGGCGCCGACTCCGCCATGACCCTGTTGATTTGGCCAGCATGCTGCCTCGGGGTATTAGTATCCAGCGTGCGGGACCGCAATCGGGGACCGCTCTCGACTGGTGATGCATATGCGAGAAGTAGGGGGTGCATGTGTGACTTGGCTCAAGCACAACCGAACGATGCTGGACAGAGACAGAGCATTCGAGCTACACGAGTTGGACATGAGTTCGGAGCAGGAGCGCGCGCGCATGGGCTACCACCGGCGCAAGATCAAGAGACATGCTCGGCGTCCTCAGATTGGAGATGGGTCGTGGGCGTTCGCCACGGGGGAGCTATAAGTGATCCATCCGAGCACCCAGTAGAGCCCACGGTGCAAGCAGATGCCCACGCAACGTGGAGCTCGACTTGAGATTGCCACCGCTGTCTTTCGCCCCTCAAACTGTCATGTGGTGCGTTGTTTTTTTGCAAAGAACAGCTTGCAACTAGAAGAAGGTTGGTTTCTCTGTGCTCGCGATCGACGGTCATGGGACGCACGATGGCAAGCACTACAGATGACGATGGTCAATTGATGTGTGTCACTATGGGAAACGATGTGTTCAACAAGATGCGAGCGGGAGGGGTTGTCGGCCTCCTGATATGTGCCAGACTTACTTCATGGAAACGAACTAGGAGGGCCACGATGCTGACTGATGGCGAGATGCGGCTACTACGGGAGCGGGCACCTCCACGTATTGTTCATACAGCCCCTGAAGTACAGCTACGCAATGCTGACTTTGCCTGGGGTGTGCATGCACTGAATCAACCGGCTGCTCCACGGAGTAATAGTGAGTTGAGGGAGCTGTTGTATGTGCTTGAGCTGGCGCTCGAGGCTGGTATTCCTGCGGTTGCGCGCGTCCCACTGGCAGCAACTGTGCTTGTGGAGCAGCTTCCTCACGTTCGAAGAGCATGTCAATATTCTCGCGTTCGGCGTCCCGCCATACCGACGCATAGCAGGGACCTCTATTGGCAGTCCACACGGTGGCGGCACCGCCATCCAGCGACGACAGCGACCTGGGCCTGAAGCGCTACCTGACTAGGCTGGTCGTCCGCGCTGAGATCGCCAGGCGCTGTCGCTAGATACCTCACCCCTTTTCTTCCATCATCCATGTCATCATCATTTATGTTGAATCGTTCCTGTCCTTCTGGCTTCCAAGTTCCTCCTGTGTGTGGCGCGGGGGCGAATTGAGAAGGGCCCGTTCGGGTGGCGGAATTGGGAGCCGAGCGCCACCCCGTTGCAGGCCCCTTTGATCAGCCTCACCTGACTCTTGGACCATCGTCCTGGTTTCTGGCCTTGTCTTCCCGCTCTTCTCCGCGGGCCTGCTTACAGCCCAAGTAGGCCTCATAGGAGCCAGGTTGAGGACAACACGCTTCCACTGGCTCCTGATCCTGACCAGGACTACCCCCCTTTCCGTGGTTTCTCTATACACCTCAGGCCCTTTGAAGGCCTTTAGCCTCCCCTCGGCCGTGGGGTTCGTCCTGGCCAGTCTGTTGCAATCCTCTGGAGCTCTCGACCTCTGGGGCGTCCTTCCCTGGGTCCGCGGGCTGCTGGTGCTAGACTCGCCTTGGGTCGTTCGCTTGCCAAAACGGGTATGTGCGGCCAGCGTGCGCTTCCGTCCATGTGGACGATGAGGCGTCTGCCACCGCTCGTTGACTGACGCTAGAGGCCGTGGCGCCCAGCAACCTGGTCGAGAAAGGAGGAGGAAGAAAAGGAGGAGGAGCAGGAGGAGGAAGAGGAGGAGGAGGAGGAAAAGGAAAGGAGGAGGAGGAGGAGGAGGAGGAAGAGCAGGAGGAGGAAGAGGAAGAGGAGGAGCAGGGGGAGGAGAATCCAGCGACGGCCCCGTGCTGAGAAGGATCTGCCCTCCCTCCGTGCAAACGCTGCGCAGTTGCACAGCTTCGGTGGCAAAAATCGCGGAAGTCCCAAGCGAGGGCACCATTCTGAAAGGGGGCGGTTGCGCAGATCGGAACGTCTATGGCACCGAAGAGAAGAAGCCTCGAGCGACCGCCGCAGTTTGAGAACGAATGGGCCTCAACGTGTGTAACTGCCGGGGGCTTCAGAAGCACATCTGCGCGGCTTTGCCTCGAGAGCCGCACGTTGAGAACCACCGGTCCTGCATCCTTGTAGCTGTTGCAGGCGTTTGAAACGAATGCGCGCGGCGCCTTATGAAAACGAATCAGTACTGCATCCGTGTAGCTCCTGGGAAATATTAAGACGACTGCTCGCGGCGCTAAGGCTAGAACCGTATTTTGAAATTCGCCGGTCCTACATCCTTGTAAAGGCTGGACGTTTAAAAGCGAATCTGTGCGGAGCTCTTGCGGAACACCTGGCCCGGCGTACGGACACGTCTTGTGGTGAATCAGGGGGCGCTGTTTTTGCAGAGAAAGCATGGGAGATCAGAAGGAGGAGAGATGGAGGAAAAGGTTGAGGAGGAATGTGGGACCAGTGTAAAACCAAGATTCGTTAACGATCTTGCAATACACCCTCCCCCCAAGCTCCTTCTTCCTAGGTCCCTGCAAAGGTTTACTTTCACTGAAGGAAGTGCCCCGTTGGAAGACAAGTCGTTACCCTCGCTCCCTCCGCCTTTCGTTTGCGCCCGCACAGTTGGCTCAAGTACATCTTGTGAGGATTGATTGGGAGCAGCTTGCGCTGCAGCGGTTAAAGGTGCACGCGTTTTTTAGCGCGCGCGTATCATCCATCACCCATCCTTGAACGGAATGTTGTAGCAATGTCGCATAAGTCTGTGAAAAAACCATCCGTCAACAAGGTCCTAAAGAAGGTCACCCACGAGTTAGGGGACCCGAGTAAGGGCATTGCTCGTACGTCAGGATAGGGTGAATTTCGGGCAAACAGCTGGGCAACCGTTTGTAAGTTCTGAACGTGCCAGAACACCTTCCCTGGCGCTGCAACGCAGCGAGTCAACGTTACTGTTGCCTCCTGACGATCCGGAATCGTGCCAAAACGCCGTCCAAGGCCGCGAGTCCACGTGATTGTTGCTTCTGGACAATCCTACAGAGCGAAAACATTACGTTTGAGACGCCGGCCGTAAACATCCCGAGAACGGCTGTGGACTCTTGAGACGAATGTGTGCGGCGCTACGGCGAGAGCCGCATTTTGAAAAGGAACCTGCCTCCTCCATCCGTGAAGTTTCTGCAAACATTGATCACCAATGTGCGTGGCACTTGGGCGAGAGTCCCATTTTGAAGATGAGCCGCCCTCCATCCTTGAAGCTCTTACAAGCATTGAGCACGAAGGAGCGCGGCGCTGAGGCGAGAATCACATGTTGAAAACGGTCCGCCCTCTCCATCCGTGAAACTCTTGCAAACTTTAAGTCGAGAGCCACAATCTGAAATCGACCTGCCCTCCATCCGTGAATCTCTTGCCAACATTGAACACGAATGTGTGAGGTGGTAAGGCTGGAGCCATATTTTGAAAACGATCTGACCCCCATCCGTGAAATTCTTGCAAGCTGTGAAGACGAATGTGCGCGGCGCTAAGCCGCTAAGGCGAGTAAACGTTGAAGTCTCAGGCGAAATGGAACGCCCGGCCCGCTCTACCGAAACTCTTCGGGGCGTGACAGGCAGGGGTTATTTACCAGAAAATAGGAGTAGGACCACGAAGACGGAGGAACACGAAGAGGGATGGATGGAGGGAGTGGGGAGAAGTGCGGCGGGGAGTGGTGGAACCCCACCCTGGGCCCCTGGAGCCCGCTACAAGCCTTAAGAGCTCCCCCAGGCCCACCAGAAACATAGGACGCCCTCCCTCCTTGCAGGAGTGCCTCGTGCTGGACCCGCACTCGTACAAGCTCACCGAGGAGGTGGAGTACTCTAACTCGTATCCGGGACTCGGCCCCCACATCCTCGCAGCCGCCAGCGGATCTTGATAGTGTTGTTGATGATGATGATGATGATGATGATGATGATGATGATGATGATGATGATGATGATGATGATGATGATCAGGAGGAGGAGGAGAAGGAGGAGGAGGAGGAGTAGGAGGAGGAGGAGGGGAGGAGGGGGATTGAGCCAGATGGGCGGGTGGCGAGGGGAAGGATGATGAGGACGGGTCAGGATGAGGACGGGTCAGGAGGAGGACGAGGAGGATTACCTGTTTCCCCTTCCGAGGTTCGCTAACCACCATGGCACAGGTCTTTTGTCAGCAGAGGTGGGCTGGCCGGTTGCTGCCCCTTTGTGAGCCCTCCACCTGCGAGCGTAGTTCCCTACCCTTTGTTTGAACAACGTTGAGGCAGCCTCCACCACTTGCAGAGGCGCATCGGCCATCTCACTCAACGTTTTGGCGTGCTCCTGCGCTGCCCTGTCCTTCCTAACCAGCCTCAAGGCGGGCTGCCTGCGCGGCGTGGTACAGCCAAGACGCTGTGAGATAAGGACCGCTCTGTGCTCTGGTGCGGCTCTGGTTTCTCGGGCGGCTCCTCGGGCCCGTCTCGGGGAACCTGTCCGTGACCGAGGCTCGCCGTGGAGCCCGCTACAGCTCTCCTCCGCTTCCTCCTCCTCCTCCTCCTCCTCCTCCTCCTCCTTCTCCTCCCCCTCCTCCCCCTCCTCCCCCTCCTCCCCCTCATCCTCCTCCTTATTCAGCGCCCATTGCTGTGGCGCGATGGCTGCAGGGGGTGGCGGGGCAGGCACAGGACCACCCCAGCAGATGTGGTTCGCACCTTCGGACCTGTCCCGAAGGGCGGCGAAAGCACCTCTTCCGGGAAGCGGACAGGGCAAACCGGTGGGGCGGCGAGAGGCACAGAGTCGGTTTCGCTCCAGACCTCCCACGCTGGGTTCGGATAGATGGGGTCGGCGGATCGCGCCGCATCGTGGATGCAGCGGTGATGTGTTTCGATGCGGAGCCTGAGTTTGTTCATGCCGACAGCGCCGATGCATCGCCGACGTCGCCGATGCGTCGGTGATGCCTCGGCGATGCGGCGCGATCTTCCGACCCCGCCTAGAGAAACTGCAGGCGCGCAACCTATGGAAGTCACGATTTGGAAGCCGGCGGGGTGTCCGGCGCAGCCCATGGCGCGACATTTACGTCGTAAGTTATGGGCTGTTCTTCAGAGGAGCAAGAAGTCAGAAAAATAAAGCGTTTCGCGATTTCCCAGAATTCCCAGAATTCCGTATTTCCTATTGTTCCACGCTTGCTCCAAGAACGACGGCTGCTAGATATTCCAGAACGCTTGGACGCATCCTGCGCCAACCGCATCACGACATCATTCTCGTCCTGCTTCGCTGAGCTGCGTCTGCGGTAATCGTATGGCACACTCAGCGAGGCAATTGACGGGTGTTTTTTTGCTCGCGTGGGGTGTTTGGCGCCTTGCGTAAATGTGGCCACAGCTTCATTTGTACACTATATCTGTATGTAAATACGCGTATATATTCTAGCATATAAAGTGTAGATGTGTACGTGTGTACACAGGTACACAATCATGTATAGACACATGTATCTGCATATCGGGAAGAGCGCGAGCTGCGGTCGCTTGGAGGGGGGGGGATTGGAACCGACCCCCCCCCCTCCCCCTCCTCCCCTACTTCTCCTCTCTCCCTCTCCTCGGGCCGGCGCCTGCGTCGGCGGCGGCTGGCGGCGGCGGCGGGGACGAGGACTTCCTTTTTTCTGGGCCTGCGCCGGCGCCTGCGGCGGCGGCGGGCGGCGGCGGCGGGTAGCGTCGACGAGGACGATGGCGACGATGATGACGACGACGACGACGATCACGCTGCGCCACCGTGCCTTGGTTTTTGGTCAGAGTCCTAATGGATGCCTCTTGGGGTCTCGTCGGAGGACTCTCGGGGGCCTCTGAAGGGCATTTGTGCAGCCTCCTGGGCGCCTCTTGGGCGTCTCCTTGGGGCCTCTCTGAAGTGGTGGTGGTGGTGGTGGTGGTGGTGGGCTGTGGTGGTGGTGGTTGTGGCGGTGGTGGTGATGGCGGTGGTGGTGGTGTGGTTGGTGGGGGTGGTGTTTGTTGTTGTGGTGGTTGTGGTGGCAGGTTGTGGTGGTGGTGGCGATGGTGGTGGCGGTGGTGCGGCGGTGGTTTCTGGTGGTGGTGGTAATTGTGGTGGTGGTGGGTTACGGTGATGGTGGTGGTGGCGGTGGTTGTGTGGTGGTTTGTCGTGGTGGTTGTGGTGGTGGTAGTGGTTGTTGTGGTGGTGGTGGGTTGTGGTGGTGGTTGTGGTGGTGGCGGTGGTGGTGGTGGTTTGTTGTGGTGGTGGTGGCTGTGGTGGTGGTTGGTGGTGGTGGTGGTGTGGTGGTTTGTTGTTGTGGTGGTGGTTGGTTGTGGTGGTGGTGGTGGAGGTGATGGTGGTTGTGGTGGTGGTGTGGTGGTTGTTGTGCTGGTGGTGGTTGTGGCGGTGGGTGGTGGTGGTGGTGGTGGTGGTGGTGGTGTGGTGGTGGTGGTGGTGGTTTGGTGGTGGTGTGGTGGTGGTTTGTGGTGGTTGTGGTGGGTTGTTGTGGTGGTGGTGGTTTGGTGGTGCTGTGGTAGTGGTTTTGGCGGCGGTTTGTGGAGTTGGTGCTGGTGGTGGTGGTGGGTTGTGGAGGTGGTGGTGGTGTGGTGGTTTGTGGTGGTGATGGTGGTGGGTTGTGCTGCTGGTCGTGGTGGTGGTTGTGGTGGTGGTGGTGTGGTAGATTGTGGTGGAGGTGGTAGTAGTGGTGGGTTTTTGTGGTGAGGGTGGTGGTGGCGGTGAGTTGTGGTGGTTGTGGTGGTGGTGGTGGCTGTGGTGGTGGTGGTGGTGGTGGTTGTGTGGTTGGTTGGTCGTGGTGGTGGCGGGTTGAGGTGGTGGTGGTGGTGGTGGTAGTGGCCCTGGTGGTGGTAGTGGTGGTAATCGTCGCTGCGTCCCCGCCGTCGGCGCTGCTGGCCGCCGCCGGCGCCGGCGCCAGCGCCGGCGCGGAGGGGGGCTGGAGGGGGGTGTTTGGAACCTCTCCCCCCCCGCCCCGTCCCGTGGGCCCTCGCTAGTCATCGTCGCTGCGTCCCCGCCGTCGTCGGCGCTGCTGGCGGCCACCAGCGCGGGCTCCGGCGGCGCTGGCGCCGGAGCCCCCCTTCCTTCCCCCCTTGGGAGGGGGGGGGTTCGGGAGGGGGGGTTAGGGGGGAGGGGAGTCCGCCTGGTTCTGATCGACGGCGCCGAATGTTGGGGGGGGCCCACCCCCAGTTCGAAACGCGCCGCCGAATGCTCCCAAAGCAAACAAGCGCCCGTGCAACGCGCTCTCTCGCAGATCGATATGTACATTTTTGGGTGCCGTACGAAATCTCTTTCGATTGACATCACAAGACGGATGTCGTGATCCGCTCTTCGGGGAAACGCGCCGATTTCGTCCAGATCTGGTGCCCCTGGGTGGGATGGGGCAACCCTCGTCTTTCCCGCTTCTCACCCCTGTGAGGAGCGCTGACGTCGAGACTTCTATGCCAGCGCAGAGATATTTCAAATACGTACAATGTTCCGAACTCGTCATATGTGTACATCTATATACACCAGCGTCGACCCCACACAGTGTGTTTCTAGTATTCTACGTTGTGCAATCTATGTGGTGCAACTGATCTTTACCAATGATTTGACACATCCCATGCTCTTGCAAACATCCCACCCACCCACCCGCAACTTGGTTTGCAAAACCTCTTAAGACCGACTACGACGACACCGACGACAACGACTACGACGACACCGACGACGACAACGACGACGACATTGACAACCACTACTACGACGTCTCCGACGAGTTCGATGACGACGACAAAGACGACGACGACGACGACGATGACACCGACGACGATACCGACGACGACGACGACCACGATGACAACGCCGACGACGACGACAACGACGATGCCGACGACGACGACGTCGACGACGCCGACGAGGACGGCGACGACAACGCCGACGCCGACGACGACGACGATGACAACGCCGACGACGACGACAACGCCGACGAAGCCGACGACGACGACGTCGACGACGCCGACAAGGACGGCGACGACAACGCCGACGCCGACGACGACGACGACGATGACAACGCCGACGACAACGACAACGCCGACGAAGCCGACGACGACGACGACGATGACGACGACGACGTCGCCAACGACGACGACGACGACGACGAGGGAGGAGGGAGGACGACGACGGCGACAACGACGACAACGACGAGGGAGGAGGGAGGACGGCGACGACGCGAACGACGAAGAAGGAGGAAGGACGGCGACGCCGACGACGACATCGACGAGGGAGGAGGGACGACGACGACGACGACGACGACGACGGCGACGAAATAGGAGGGACGACGACGAGACGCCGACGACGGACGACGACGACGACGAGGGAGGAGGAGGAAGGACAACCACGGCGACAACGACGACCGAAACGACCACGACGCCAAAGAGGACGACGACGAACACGAGGAAAGACAGAGGACGACGTAGGCGACGACGACGACGACGACGCAGGAGGAGGGAGGACGGCGACGACGACGAAGCAAGAGCGCGCGCGCACGCTTTTGTTGAAAATCCGTGTTGCGAAACCGTGTGTTTTTGTAGGTTTATTGGACACACGATTTTGAGATCCTTCCGAAACCTATGGTTTTTTGAAGGATTATGGCATACGCGCGCGACGACGCGCGCGTCTGCACTTCGTTTTATTTTTTGTGAAGGATTCTCGCGACGGCACACGCGCAAGGGCGTTCGACAGATTTCGACATGCGCGCGCGGAACCCGTTTGATAGCATGTTGTGAAAATCTTGAAAATCCAATGGTTTCCTTAGGGATTCGCAAGAGCTCGCGCGTAAGCTTTTTTAGCAAATCAGTGTTGCGAAACCGCGTAGTTTTGTATGTTTTTTTTGAACCGACACCGAAGGTTTTTGAAGG